TCTGCATACATAGAAAAATAAATGTTTGTCGTGTTCATTCACCAAGGCTTCAGGATTTATACATTATCACAGTGGAGTTCAGTCTGTCCTGACAAATATGTCTCTTAACACTGTTTCTAGTATGAAGTGAGTACTTAAAATGTAGCTCTTTAAAGACAAATGTGCAGAGCTGAGAATTCCATTTATTGGTAACAAAAAAGTTGAGAGATGGATTACCAAAAAAACCCCATAGTAATCTTGATTTATATTAAAAAGCAATTTCTGCATATTAAGCATGTGCAGACTATATGTCAACCGACTAAATAGCTCAGGGAATACTCAGTACCACTCTGTATTGCTGACTAAGGCACAGACAGGTCATATTCACATAAAAAGCTTATTACCACCATAAAGCAGCCCATATATGTTAGGTCCAAAGAGAATGAAAAGAACAATCTAGTTAGAAGGAAGTGGATCTGAACTTTTACTCAATTCTCACTTTTCTTCCTATTGTTATCTAAATTGCTTATCCTGGCATAGTACAAGCTACTTTGTGAAAAAAGAGAGGATGGCACTTTCACCGCAGATATCAGCCTGGTGCTAGAGAGCATTAGAGGTCCAGAGTCTTGCCTCAGCTCTGCTGGGCAGTGCCTGCATGAATTTGACCTCTGATTAGAATCGTTCTTACTCTCTATTTGCCCACTGATAAAGTGGGTGCAATGACAGCCCTAACATGAGGCCACTGTATGGATTAGGTAGCACTTTGTATATAAAGAATCTGGCAAAGTGTTTGGTATATGTTGGGACCCCATAAATGTTGGTTTAATTTCCTCATTCCATTTCTCGTATTCTGCCACCCTCCATTCTACCTTCCTCCATATTTCCTTTCAATGTCTTGTTTCATTGTTTATTTGTTTTAAACTAAAAAATGAAGAAAAATGATAGATAATCATAAAAACCCTGATCAGCAGGAAATATCTATACCCAGGAAGTTTGATTATTGCCTGGAATTTGGATTTGGCAGGCTGATTTGACAAAACTCACAATAATATCACAATATCTTACACTACCAAAGTTGGGGCATGAGAAGGAATAGAGAGAACAGAAAGAAGGGTAGGCAACAGCACAAATGAGAAGGGATGTAAAGTCATCTGCAAACAGCCACAGCTAAAAAGAGTTTACAAAAAATTCAGTCTCAAAGACTTAATACTGTGCACTCTCTGTATTTTAACTAATTCAGATACATTAACAACAAACTCAGCCCAAATGGTACACTGCTTTGTTTAGGGGAACTCAAAAGGATCCAAAGTTTACACAGCAGCACAAATTTCACATTATTGGTGTTCTTAAGATAATATCTTCCAAGGGTAGGCAATAAAAGAGATGGAGTGGCCGGGCGCGGTGGCTCACTGTGGCTCATGCCTATAATCCCAGCACTTTGGGAGGCCAAGGCAGGTGGATCACGAGGTCAAGAGATCGAGACCATCCTGGTCAACAAGATGAAACCCCATCTCTACTAAAAATACAAAAATTAGCTGGGCATGATGGTGCACGCCTGTAGTCTCAGCTACTTGGGAGGCTGAGGCAGGAGAATTGCTTGAACCCAGAAGATGGAGGTTGCGGTGAGCTGAGATTGTGCCATTGCACTCCAGTCTGGGTAACAACAGCGAAACTCCGTCTCAAAAAAAGAGAAAGAGATGGAGTGGCATTTTCAAATCTTCTCTTGTGTCTTGAAGTCCATCTCAGCCACTACAATCAATATCCAGTAAAAACAAATATTCCACATGGCAATTCCTCAACCGAGCCCTGTTCTGGCCACCATTTCCTGACATGTTCTTAAATATCTGTAAATGTTGAGTTTATTTCACTTTCTGACTTTGGCCCCAAACTTGCTTTATGATTGGATAATGGCTAATCTTTTTTGGCTATCCTCACCTCTGTCTGCTTTGATCCTCAGGCTGCACTGACTTTGGTGATACCAAATAATACCCCAGCCCCATTCTGCTTAGGCAACAGCACCATCCAGAGCAATCAGAAATCAGAGGAGGCTAGCACAATCATTTCTTTTTAAATGGCTAAGCACCAGCATATCGGAGGAAAGATATAAAAAGTTTCTTCTTTATGACCAGGCAATACTCCAGTGTAAAATTCATGGAAAACACTTATTTGAACAAGAAATGTAAATTCACCTATAATTTTTGTTATGCGTGAGTGTAAGAGTTACAAAGAAGGAACACCTAATGTATAAATGAGTTAGTATGGAAAAAGATTTTAAAGAGGATTTGGATTCTTTTCTCCCCTATCTTACTCATATACCTGCTGAAGAGCTGTATTTTATTTGTCAAGGGGATATGTTTATATAAAAGGCGATCTTTCCTCCTGCAGGTTCTAGAGAACTAGACCCAGTAGAAAAAAAAAAAAACTCAAGAGTTGATAAATCCAGCAAAAAAGCTGCCTTAAAACAGTATCCCTTATCTTTAACAGTCCTACACAAGACCTAGGGCTTAAGCTGAATTCCTAAAAATGACATCTACATTTCAGCATGGTACTACTTAAATTACTCCAAGCTATGTCTCCGCTTTTGGTCTCCTATTCCTACAACATGTCAAAGACTTGGTCTCAGTATTTTCTATCTCCATGTGCAAATAACCATGTTCTAAATCCTTACTCAAAGTCTTCCTCCTTTACAATGTCTTCCTAACTCCCCGGCAGAACTGATTTCAATTTCTTCCAGCTCTCTGAGCATGTTTTTGTCCACAACTAGTGTTGTGAAGTTCAAGCTGCCTTATCTCTGGTTATTTTTAATGTCCGTATCCTCCATTGGTAAATTGAGAGTACTTGGAACCTATCTTCTGTTTTGATCTTCATGTCCCTCAGAGTGCCTCGTCCACTACTTTGTAACCAGTCAGTCAGTAAATGTTTGCTAAATTGAACTTAAAATATAAAATGAGGGAGATGGCCTCTTCCTGCTCATATTTATATTAGGAAAGTAAAGGGTCCAAGCTAATGTAAACATGCAATATGTCAAGGAAAAAGATAGTTAAGACAACCAATCACATATCCAAGATTCTTAAGGCAGCATTTAGAGACCTCTATTAGATGAGGTCTTGTCAAGAGACAAGCAGCAACTCTTCTCCCTTGGTACTGCATAGACTCTCTCTCTCTCTCTCTGGATCCTGTTTATTCCTAATTCTATTAAATTTAAACTCCTACCTTGCTGCTGTCAGCCAGAAACCCCAGCCAAACAGTGAAAGCTGAATGCTTTCTCAACACTTAATAATAAACCCAGAAAGTGTAGAAAGCTTTTTTATGGTGTAGCAAGATGGGTGTTAGCGAGGCGAAATGGTACTGCCTTGGCATATAAACCCCAACAAATGTTTCTTCTTGAGAAGATACTCAGTTGACCCTTAATCTGAAGACATAAAGCTTCCATACGCAAAGTGTTAAAGACCAGCGGCATCAGCATCATGTGGGCACTTTTAATAAAAGCAGAATCTCAGAACTCCCAGACAATCTGCATCAGAACTGGATTTTAACATTATCTCCAAATGACTCCTATGTAGGTAACATTTTAAAGAAGCTTGGACACTGGATATTCTAGCATCAATATTTCATCTGCTTCCTTGCAGTCTCTTTGCTCTAAACTGTAACATTATTAAAAAAATAATTTGCTTCTCACGCCCTCTCCTCTAACCCTCCATGATTTTCTCCATTTGTTTTAATATGTAATACAAAAAGACAAAATATTTCTCTAGTGTAGAGAATGCGTACATTTCATTCACATACATTATATTATTAGATCCTTATGATATTCCTCTAATATCATCCTATGTAACTTGTTACATATCACTTATGTAAATAAATGTCTGAGAACCCCCAAGTCTAAAGGTTTGAAGATGCAGACGGCTTCTGTCTGTAGATAACCAACTCTCCAACCTCAGGATTAGAGAATTCTGATTGCATTATCTATGGAGCCAAGAACTTAAATGCCCAGTTCTGTCTTACTCTTGAATCTTTTGCCTTTTCAACTACCATAACCCAGTTTCTCCCACACAGACACTAAACATGCACACTGTTGATGAAAGCTTTTATAGTGGCCATTACGTAATGGATTTGCTGTCAGTTTGTCTAAAATGTGCCTGCTGAAGAAGTGAAAAAGAAAAATCTAATCCATGCTTATAAGTAATGGAGTTTTCAACTAACTAAAACCTACTTGGGCATTTCTCTCCTCTATAGCATGACTTTTTAATTGGCTTTAGTCATTTATGTAATCAGAATATTTTCAGCAATGGATAAAACACCATAGGTAATAATATTAAATATATATTATAGTTGCATTAAGAAAGCATTTATTTAGGATATTTATAGTATTAGAATTATAATATAGTAAATTGTCAAACCAGAGCACATTTTCAAGATGTTTAGCCTAATTCTAGGCCACGTTCTGAAGTAAATACCTCTACACAATGCAAAATATTAACTAAAACTTTAGGCTTCATCAAAATGCTAAAACACTATTGTTTAGGCATAAAAATGCATTACTTTTATAAAAGTCTTTAGGTTATTGAATAATGGACAGGTGTCCACAATTTAAAAATCGTCTGGGTGTAGTGGCTTACACCTGTAATTTTAGTACTTTACAGAGGCCGAGGTGGAAGGATTGCTTGAGGCCAGGAGTTCTAAACCAGCCTGCCAAATATATCAAGACCCCTATCTCTGCAAAAAAAATTAAAAAATTAGCCAGGCCTGGTGGTGCACACTGTGGTCCCAGCTACCTGGGAGGCTGTGGTGGGAGAACTGCTTGAACTCTGGAGCTGGAGGCTGCAGTGAGCTATGATGGCACCACTGCACTTCAGCCTTGACAACACAGCAAGACTATGTCTCAGAATAAATAAATAACATAAATAAATAATAAGTAGAGTATTAGAACGAAAAATAAATCTATAAAAGATTATCTAAGCCAATCCCTCATTTCCATTTTTTATATTTGGAAGGAAAAGCCCAGAGGCCACACAACTTACCACAAGTTCCACTGTTGTCTGACACTGTCTAGCTGAGTAACTCTGGCCAGTCCCTTGTTTCTCACTCTCAGTTTCTTGATCTGCAAAATGAGGTGATTGAAACTAGATGATGTAAGAGTCCCACACAGCCTGAAAATGCCATTTTTCTACAAGACTGGAAACCACATCTTAGAACATTTCCTCTCTAGAAGCAACACACAGGAAGATGAAAAGATTTTTAAATGGCACTTGGCACCATTGATGTTCCAACTCATTGATACTATAATCTCAGCTTGATACTTTAGAACCACATAGATTGCTAGTATCCACCACAGACCAGCAAAGCAGAAGAGAAAGGCTGTTGGCATACTCTTTGCCTGAGAAATGTTGCAACTGAAAATCAGAGCAGAGACACAGTAAATCTTTTCCTCCTCTTCTGAAGATCTGGTGACTCCTGTCTCGGCCTTGCCTTAGGAATTTCTTCTGGAGAAATTTTTCACTGAGGACCTGGGAGTCCAGCCCTTGACTTAACCCCAGACAAGGATGCATTTCCTCCTGGAAGGCTCCCCGCCTGAACAAGTCATTCAAAATCATCCGTAAAAGGAACTCCAGGCTCCAGGGACTAGCACATTTAAGCATCTTTTAATCAGCTGTCTGGTCTTGTTTGGTCTTTTTTGAAGCCTTTTTTAAATCATATTACAATTTTATTATGTTAATAAACAAAGAGTTGGTATGCATAATTTTAAAAGGCAAATTCAGCCTTTGAATGAAGACTGTGTCACGATCATGACTCATGCTTTAACTACGTTTACTTATCTTCCATTCTTCATTCTGGTATGGGACAATAGCTTCTAAGTGGCTTTGATTTATTTTTTAAATGAGTTTCATGTCCCACCCCACCCCCCCCGTTTTCCTTTTCATTATTACTGTTTTCTAGCAGAAAATCAGAAAGTTGGGGAATGTTTTAAGTTTGTAAAATCTGAGAGATCATCTGCACTGAAACCCAATTTCATTAAATGGTTTAGGAGATTTAAATGTAATAACTCAACAAGGCAGTACCCAGATACCATGTATGTAAAAGTGGGTGCTGCCAATGTCTCTAGTAATTAAGCCAATAATTAAACCAGAGTTTATTTTGGGAGGCCAAAGTGGGTGGATCACGAGGTCCACCTGGTAAACAGGCGGATCAAGACCATCCTGGTAAACAAGGTGAAACCTTGTCTCTACTAAAAATACAAAAATTAGCTGGGCATGGTGGTGCGCGCCTGTAGTCGCAGCTACTCGGGAGGCTGAGGCAGGAGAATTGCTTAAACCCAGGAAGCGGAGGTTGCGGTGAGCCGAGATTGCGCCATTGCACTCCAGTCTGGGTAACAAGAGCGAAACTCCGTCTCAAAAAAACAGAGTTTAATTGATTAGATTCACTTTTATGACATATGCAAGTGAATCCGAAACACTGGGTCCTATTAGCACTTAATATGTAAAGAAAGCTAGTATCTGTACCTAAATAATTGCATACACAATGTGGTCAACAGAGAGTATACGAATTCTAGGAAAAAAAAATGTATCATCCAAAAAATAACAATTCTCTTATTAGTAGTAGCATCATATTATTGTCATCTATTAATGACAAGCCTAAACAACCCAAGCGTTCATCAAAGAAGCAATTCAATAGAATGTTTTCAGCATGCTCTTCTTTTAACTAAAAAGAGAATATGAAATGAGAAGAGAAAAAGTAAGATTTTTTATTTCAGTCTGAATAAAATATATTCTTTGAAGCTCCTCATGGTATGCATGACAAATAAACATACATTTCTTGCTTTCTGCAACAAAAGAACTGTATTATGTGTCTTGAAAATTAATTAATGTTGTCTTCAACATTTCTAGAAAATTAATATCAAATTCATTGGTATGTGGCTTCTGGAATAACAGGACCTCTGGTCCATTTCCTGTATAGTAATGTAACAACAAGAAGATACATTTTTAAGTTTTATGTGTTCAAATTGGTTTAGGAAGGTAAATTTCTATACTATAATTAATGTATATCAACAATTTTCGAATAATTTTAGCAATGGAGCTCTTCTTTGAAAGAACAGCTTGGGCCCAACATAAGCTAAGGCACTTTAAATGTCTATCGTTGGCTAAGAATATACTTTATATTTTGTGGCATTCACCAAGTACCTTCATACAATTTGAAAGGTAGTTAGAAAACTATTCTTAAAATTCAAACATCTCATATTATTGACAAGAAAACTGAGTCTTCAAAAGAAGAACTGATATGTGTCACAACTAGTTAGTAGCAAAAATTAGAATTCATAACTTGTTCATTTATTTAACTAATGTTTATTGAGAGCTCTCCATCAACTCGTTTTCTGCTAAGTTTCTTATGTATATCACATTTATTGTTTTTTAATTGATGATTTAAATTTTATTTAATTTGTTATCATTTAATCACTTCCTAGCCATACAAAGAAAACTTTTTTTTTTTTGAGATAGAGTCTCACTCTGTTGCCCAGGCTGGGGTGCAGTGGCATGACCTTGGCTCGCTGCAACCTCCTCCGTCTTACAGGTTCAAGTGATTCTCCTGCCTCAGCCTCCCAAGTAGCTGGGATTACAGGTGCCCATAACCATGCCCAGCTAATTCTTTTTTTTTTTTTTTTTTGTATTTTTAGTAGAGATGGAGTTTCACCATGTTGGCCAGGCTGGTTTTGAACTCCTGACCTCAAGTGATCTGGCCACCTCGGCCTCCCAAAGTGCTAGAATTACAGGCATGAGCCACCATACCTGACTGAAAACTTATGTCTGTTAACCAATCATCAAATCTGCGTTCACCATGTCTCATGTGTAAAGAACTAAGAATATGTCAGAAAAAGGCAATAGTACCTAGAAGTTTATAATCTATTTAAATAGTGAAGATGCACAAACAAGAAATTTGCTTTAAAAAACCAGGATGGGCCAGGTGCGGTGGCTCAAGCCTATAATTCCAGCACTTTGGGAGGCGGAGGCGGGTGGATCACAGGGGCAAGAGATCGAGAACATCCTGTTCAACATAGTGAAACCCTGTCTCTACTAAAAATACAAAAAATTATTAGCTGGGCATGGTGGCGTGCACCTGTAATCCCAGCTACTCGGGAGGCTGAGGCGGGAGAATTGCCTGAACCCAGGAGGTGGAGGTTGCGGTGAGCCGAGATCACGCCACTGCACTCCAGCCTGGGTAACAAGAGCGAAACTCCGCCTCAAAAATAAATAAATAAACAAACAAACAAATAAATAAATAAATAAAAGTAGGATGACATTTAAGGGCTAATAATACAGCAGTGAATAGGTTGGCCCCAGAAACTTATACCCCAAAATTTGGTCCTTTACATGCTGAACTAAAGAAGAAGCCTTATGGTCTCTCTGACAGTCCCCACCTCAGCTCCCAATCTGAGCTCTCAGTCTCTCAATCCTCTGTCTCCTATCTCTTCCAAAACACAGGATAAAGTTATTCTCAGAAGTTTCCTTATCTAAAGCCCAGATCCGCCAAAGAATTTTCATGAACTGAACTTCTATCATGGGAAGAAGGATAAGTCTGTCAACACACCTGGATAGACTTTTGCCATAAACCATTGTCTGCTCTGCAGCTCAGCGGACTTGGTCTCAGGCCATTGCATGCTCTTCAAGCCCACTGAATTTTCCTAATAATCATTTACTCCCCTCAAAGTCATCCACACTTCCTTACTCCTTCACTTTAGGTGGTAGGGTAATCGCTGTGGTTCTCTCCCATGCATGTTAATAAACTTGTATGCCTTCTCACTTATTAACCTGCCTTTTGAGAGTTGGTTTTCATCAGTGGGCTAAGGGGAAGTTTTCTTTTGGTCCTGAAGTATATGTTATGTAAAGAGAGATTCTTAAAAAGAGAGAGCTCATTGGGACTGACTTTAAGTATCTGAATAAGCTTCAATGAAGTGATAAAATTTGACCTTAAAGTACTTATTATTACTACTTTTATTGCACTAAAGACTTTGGCATATTCCATGGCATCTGGATTGCAAGAACTGTTTAAATAGACTTTTTCCAAATAATAGCTCATTAAAAAAACTAGGACAAAATGGCACTATAACATCAATAGGCTCCTAAAGAGTTATTCAGCAGTTGGGCAGTTCATTCCTCAGCTACTTCGTTTGTGACCTTTGTTGTAAAAATCCTGATCTTTTTCATCCATGAATTAGCCCAGTAAGCATTTCAAAATTGATGAAATCTTCATCAATCTTGGCCATTTTCTGAGACCAACTAGAAATTGTGTTCCATTTCATCTCATCCAATTTCCTGATGTAATTCTCACCCAAGTCAAAGTTACCTTTCCCTCCTCTAAAAAATGTAACTATCTTCATTTTATTTGAAAACTCTCTTAGTTTTTTACTCTATTATTTGCATATGTTACTATATTATTTATGAATAAATGCCATTTTTCTCATCTATGTTAGAAGCCCAAGAAAATGAAAACCATGGCTTATACCTAATACAGTATTTTGCCAAAGAGGCACTTACTAAATAGTCACTGTTGTAATTGGCTTTTAATGGAAAAGCCCACACATGTTATAGAATCTATACTAGTCAATGAGTAGGTGCTGACAGCCTACAACTTGTTGCTTTTGATGATTTATTGATATGATCCTCAAATCCTAGGATCTTACATGTGATGCATTTTAATGGTTTTCTAGTCTATATTATTCCATTTCAATCTATTTCATTTTGAAAAATTACAGGTTCAGTGAATGATAAAATTGATTTTATCATCATCTCTGGGTGCATACATTCAATCATTATTGATTTATTCTAAGGATTATTTTATTTACTTATAGAATATAGATAACAATATTATCTCTTTCATAGGATTGCTTTTAGTATTAAATGAAATGCTACCACTAGCACTCTGCTTAGGGCTTAATGTTCAATAAAGGCATACTATGTTTATAGATACTATTATTTTAATTATTTCCACCATTATATTAGTATTATAGATTCAACTTTAGATATTTGAAACTGTTAATTTACGTTACCATTCTTAGACACATGCTACATATTGTTAAAGTCCTAACTTGTTTTTTTGAGAGTGAGTTTT